AACAATGGGCTTGGGCCAGCAAGGATGCTTTGTAAGAAAGGATAGGGTCACTGAAGCTATTTAAAAAAGAGAGAGAGAAAGAAAAGAAAACCTCAGGCATTTTAATATGTTAAATACAGACCCAATTATTAATTCTAAGGACTTCTACAAATCAACCTAGATGAAACTTTTTTCACCTTTTTCTGCCTTTTCCCCCCCTTCTCAGAAACATTTAGACCTACCCTATGGCAATGACTATCGGGAAGTCTCTATCCTGTATATCAGGGTAGCACAAATAATTCAGCATAAAGCAGCCCAGTTCCTGTAGCCTGGCATTAGGATAAGTATATCTTAAGAAAGTTCTTATGCAGACTTGGCTTCAGGCAATAAAACGTCATAGACGTATAACTGTAGCAAGCGAAATTTCTAGGGAGCAAATTAGGCTGAAAACATCTTCTAGAGACGGCTAGAAAGGAATCGTACGCCACCCCAAAATAAGGCAAGTTATGCAGTAAATGTTTCATTTATTGGCCTTCTTCCATTACTATTAGGGTTAAAAGACATCTTGTCAATAAGAAAGGTATATTTATGGAGGACTGATGTCTTTCGAAAGGCTGCTCCTGTCACAAATGCCTATAGCGGTAGTGATCAGCTTATGAAGGCAGATGATGAAACTCTGTACAAATGCATACATCTCCCCATTAACCCTTGGATCATCAGGCATTATTGTCACTTTATTACCCAAACCTGTCATTAGCTGAAGCAAGGTGATCAAGCCAGGCGCTGCAGAAAAATGCCAGAACAGAATAGTGTTCCTCAGGGTTTCAAGAGGAGGGTATGTGCCTTTCCATGTCCCTTGACATGATCATTGGGGAAAAATAAAAGGATGCCTGTGAAGTGGCCCTTTTGTGCCTACCCCTTCCTCCTGCTAAAATTGAAAACTCTCAGAGGTGTCCAATTTTGAGTGTTCCTATGTTGGCTAAGGGAGTAGCTTTCCTCAAGGTCCAAATAAGGAACCATCACCCACGCAGAACAAAAAGCAAACAGAAAATCTCACAGTGGAAGCAGGACTTTGGCTTCAAAACATTTCCCCATTTTATAGCTTCCTTATGTTTTCAGATTCTTTTTTTGGCTTCCCTCAGTCAGCACGCTCCCTGCATAGATAAGTCCAACACAGTGGGTAACAGATCATCCATCTTGGAACCCGGATCTTTAAGGAAAAAAAAAATCACATGGAACACATATACACACCGCATACATGTACAAGTCACCATCCAGGGTCATTTAGTGGAATCTGGCTGAGTGATTGGGGGAGCTGCGGGTGCTTGTCAACATGTATTCTCCACCTCTGATGAATCTGAGCAGACTATCCTTGTCTTTCCCAAATTCCAAAGCCAAACTTCCAACATGCTTTGTCCCCTGCTGGTGTGCTGGTGAACTTCTTAGCATAGCTGGGGTGTGGGCTAAAACTATGGAATCATGAGCCCCTTGAGTGTTGAAGAAGGACCCAAGGGACATACCAGTCCAACCACCTCATCTGCCAGGTGAGACAGTTCTAAGAGGACACAGGTAACAGTTGGCCAATTTCCGCCATCCCCCCCATCAAGCACATTCCCATATGCTGGAGGGTACCCCCATTCCGCCGTGGCTCCCGCATGTGGAACCAATGCCGGAAGAATGATTCATATCGGCTGAAATCTCCTTTTCGCACCCCCCCCCCACCAGCAGGGATGAAGAAGGAAATATCCCTGGGAAAGGTGACCTGTTCACTTTATTTTCAAGGTAAAATGCAGACTATCAATATCAACACGTGCCCATAGGGATTTAATAGAGGGACAGCTGGAAGGAGGAGAAAGCAGAGGAGTGAAGATGCAGAAGTGCAGCAGGTGAGGAGAAGCAGGAAGAAACAGAGGCTGAGGCATGGTCTCCTTAGAGTTCAGGACCTGGGCTGGCCCCGGGAATGGGCACCAAAGGAAGAGGTCACAGCTTTTCCCCTCCCCTGCCTGCCTCCCAATATGCAAAAACCCCTTGGCTCAGGCCAAAGTCAGAAGGGGTCTGGTTCCCTCCTGGTGTTCTTCGAACCCCTTGCTATCTGGGCAGAACTCATGGTCCCGTAAACCAGGAGTCATCAGTATCTGGAGAGAGAAGTTGCCTCAGCACCTGGACACAAGCCAACTGTTGTTTAAGATTTCACACCAAATCTATAAAATACATGTCCGCATTGTGAGCCAACCTGACTTTTAAAAAAAAAGTATTGTATTACCCTGATTTTTTGCTAACTGCAATCCCACATCCTCTCCCTCCCCCACCTCCCATCCGGGCATCACCTGAAGCCCTTTCAGAGGCTTGGGGGTCATTGACCCTCTGAGATCTCGCGGGTCTCCCCAAGCCTTTTAATGGCACGAAGCAATGAAATTAGATGTGGCACGTGTGCTATCATAGAATAACTTTTAATTGCATAATTAAGTCAGAGATTTAAAGAAGGAAAGATTCAAGAGTTTCCTTTGAATGAGAAATATTAAGGATATGCCAAAATGGATGAGGTTACTAATCATTGGAAGAAAGCCCTTGGTATTTACGTATGCTAAAAAATGCAGGCCAGGACATTAAAAACAATAAGTTCATGCCTTAAAATTTCCACTCCGTATATTTATGAGCTTTTATTATCCAGGTAGTCCTATAGAGGACATAGAAGACCTCATTAGCCAACTTAATTCAGATCAGGGTTAGATTAAAAAAAAAACAAAACAAAAAAACCCACCGCACAGGACAAAGAAATTGCCATAAAATTGAGTTACTATGAATGTGTTCCAGTTTAAGTAAATAAGCCCTTAACACAGGCTTTAGGAAAGTCTACGCTGTACACAGACAGACTCAGGCACACTAGGTATGCAGGTGACAATTAGCAAGTGTGAAAAGCTATGGTCATTGGCTAAATGTGTAAATCTAAAGGCAACCAAGTGAAAAGACCTACGAAAAGGAAACTGTTAAATCCATTTGTACATGGATTTAACAGTGAAGCATTTCATTCTTCATGTTTTTACTCGGTGTCTTGAAATAATCCCCTTTCTGTCTCCACTCTCCCTCTTAGAAACTGTGCCCGCCTTATTTATTTATGAAGTCTGAAGGTTAGTCCTACCTGCTGAGACTAATTAGCCCTGTGCTTTGTATCCTATGCAATCCTGTCTGATTAAATGTACACATTTGTTTTACTTCTTTTCTGGCTCCTTCTCACTGTACTTCTGATTTTTCTGATTAATATTAAAGTTGGGAGTTACAGTGATTCTCCTCCGTAGGCCCCCCTCCCATATTATTTTGCCTGCATCTTCACTCTTTAGTGTGCTAATGTGGTTGTGAATTTTTCCCAGTGCAGGGGAATTCATTGGCCTTGTCAATCTTGGTATCATTATTTTTAGTAGTCTTCTTTCTGAGACCTTAGCCTATAAAACAGTTTTGCTGAAACCCAAACTCTCTAAATATTACATGGTAAATTTGCTTTCTTTTAGAAACCTTAGGTACTGATGGGCCAGTTGGAAGGTATGTGAGTTTTTTTTTAGGGATTGGCGGGATAATTTAGTACATCACGCACTGTTCCTAACTGATAATTTGCTAACTCCTATTGATTTCTTTTCTTTTCTTATTTTTTTTTTTGGTCCTCCTTTTCATGTTGTAGTTTCTGGTCCACTTCTCATTGGATATTTGCAAGAAAATGAGTGTTCCTGCTCCATCACCCAGGAAGACTACGTTTTGGGAGTCAGGCCTTTTCTTCTTTAACATAATTCTGTTCCCCATTTTGTAGCAAATCTGCTCCCCAGGCGAGTGCCTAAAATCAACAATACCTGCCTCAAACCCCAGGCTTTCCACCTCCTCCCTGAGCTCTTTCAGCATCAGCTTGGTTAGCAATTTCCTGCCAGAGCCATCTACATCTTGATTATTTGGCCAGTCTTTTGGGGATTTCATTTCACACCCCCTTGGAGAAAGACTCCAGTACCACTGATCCCCAGGGGTTGGTGAACTTTCAGTTTTATTTTCCCTGGCGGTGTTAACGCCCAAACTTTTCACCTCCAAAGGCAGAAAGGACTTTGAATCCTAGCTCATTTCCTACCACCTCCAACGTCAGTTACCAAAGGGGGAAAAAAAAAAAAAAAAAAACCCCAACCACCACACTTTACATCGAAAAAGAACCACGTAATTTTCCTTAAGGATATTTTTAATGCCCCTGACACACACTACAGTTATTTGATTGTCTTTTTGGATAAAATGTCATCTTGGTATATTTATTCTGGTGAGACGTAGATTTAACGAAATGACTTGCTATTAATAAACAAAAAAGGGGAGGGGAGACCTCGTGGGCTAATAGTTTCTTTCACTGCAGATGACCAGGAACTTTGCCCAGCTCCCCACTTCCCCAAGCTCTCTGAAAAGTGGAGGGTTGATCTTTCTTTTTGACCACTTCTGTTAGATCCCCGCCCAGGGGTGGCTGATTTCACTGCTGGATTAACCACTAAGCACCCCCTCCCGTCCCCCCCCACCCCCACCCCTTCCCCACAGTACTCTCCTCCTCCTCCTCCCCCCCCCCTTCCTTAAGACTTATTTCTAATATTTCCAAAGTGCACTTTTTCTGGGCCTCTCCCCATCCCCGCCCCCCAAGTGGGCTTTCCTTCCGCCTTCCTCGGCTCGGATTCCTGCCTCGGTCGCCACCCCCTTCCCCCCTCTCCCCCTCCGCATTGTCCTTCCCCAGCCGCCCCCTCCCGGAGCGAGCCCCGTACCCTCGCCGACTCGCGGGCTCGCACCCACTCAGCGCAGGCCTCTCCCCCTGCACACTCCTCCCTCCGACTGCCTCCCCCTCCTCCCCTCCCTCCCCTCCCCTCCCCTCCCCTCCCTCTCCCTCTCCCTCTCCCTCTCCCGGCGCCCGAAAGGATCATTGTTAGCCGCCCCCGCCCCGCCCACCCCGGCTGTTTATTTATGCACACGTCACCCGGCCGGCCCCGCCCCCCGGCATCTCATTAAGCGAGTGTGTTCCTCTCGCCCTGTCAATAATCTCCGCTCCCAGACTACTCCGTTCCTCCGGATTTCGATCCCCCTTTTTCTATCTGTCAATCAGCGCCGCCTTTGAACTGAAAAGCTCCCAGTCTAACTTCAACTCACTCAAATCCGAGCGGCACGAGCTCCTCCTGTATCTTCGGCTTCCCCCCCCTTGCTCTTTATATCTGACTTCTTGTTGTTGTTGGTGTGTTTTTTTTTTTTACCCCCCTTTTTTTATTTATTATTTTTTTGCACATTGATCGGATCCTTGGGAACGAGAGAAAAAAGAAACCCAAACTCACGCGTGCAGAAGATCTCCCCCCTTTTCCCCTCCCCTTCTCCCTCTTTCCCCTCCCCAGAAGAAAAAGACCCCAAAGCAGGAGGAAAAAAAAAAAAAAGTTCACCTTGGACTCGTCTTTTTCTTGCAACATTTTTTTTTTTGGGGGGGGAGGGAAGCAAAACTTTTTCGGGGGTGTTATTATTATTATTATTCTTTTTTTTTTTTGGCTTTTCTTCCTCCCTTCATTTTTCTTCCAAAATTGCTGCTCGTGGGTGAAAAAAAAAATGCCGCAGCTGAACGGCGGTGGAGGAGATGACCTAGGCGCCAACGACGAACTGATTTCCTTCAAAGACGAGGGCGAGCAGGAGGAGAAGAGCTCCGAAAACTCCTCGGCAGAGAGGGATTTAGCTGATGTCAAATCGTCTCTAGTCAATGAATCAGAAACGAATCAGAACAGCTCCTCCGACTCCGAGGTAGGAGAAGCCCCTCGGGCTGGTGGGGTCCGGAGCGCGTTCCCCGGGCCGGGCGGCGCGGAGCCGGGAGGGCAGGCGGCGGGGCCGGGGGCGCCGCGGGGCCGGCGGGGCCGGCGGGCGGCGGGCGGCGGGGGCGCGGGGGCGCGCCGGGCACCACCGCGCAATCGTGTAACCCTGTTTTCTCTGCCCCCCCCCCGCACCCCTCCGGACCCCCCACCCCCCCGATCCTGTCTCCCCCTTCTCCCCCCACCCCCTCTGCGTGGCGTTTGCCCCTCGCCCTCCCCACCTCCACCCCTCCGGGAAGGCGGAAAGACGGCCTCCGCCTCGCTCCGAAAGTTTCCGAGATAAATCCCGGGAAAGTTTGGAAGAAGGTGAGTACGCCCCGCGCGCCCCCCCCCCGCGCCCCCCCGCGCCCCCCGCGCCCCCCGCGGCCAGCCCCGCGCCCCCCGCTCGGCCCGGCCCCGCGCGCCCCGCTCGGCCCGGCCCCGCGCCGGCCCTGCCGGGGCGCCCGGCGGCTCCGGGCACTTTCTAAAAAGTTTCTCCTCGCTCTCTCCCGCTCGGCGCGGCCGCCGCCGTCCCCTCGCCGCCCCGCCATGTTAGCGGCCAAGAGGCAAGATGGAGGGCTCTTTAAGGGGCCACCGTATCCCGGCTACCCCTTCATCATGATCCCCGACCTGACGAGCCCCTACCTCCCCAACGGATCGCTCTCGCCCACCGCCCGAACCGTAAGTGCCTCCGCGCGCGGCCCCCGCCCGGCCCGGCCCGGCCCGGCCCGGCCCCGCATGCGGCCCCTGCCCTGCCCGGCCCTGCCCTGCCCCCTCCCCTCCCCTCCCCTCCCCTGCCCCCTCCCCTCCCTCCCTCGCTCCCTCCCCGCCCCCCCCCCGCCTCCTCCCCTCCCCGCCGCCCCTCCCCCGCTCGCGGCCCAGGCAGCCCGAAACTCTCCAAACTTTTCTGCCTTTTGTGGACTGGATCTGTTTGCACTTCGCCATGTTCTTGCTTTCAGTTTGCTGCCTCGTGATGCTGGGGAGACCTTTCTTTCCAAGCAGGGCTTTGTTGGGTTGGTGGGAGGGCGGGCGGGGGCGGGGGGGGGGAGACGAGAAGAGAAGAGAAGAGAAGAGAACTTTTTTTTTTTTTTTTTTTTTTTTTTTGCGCTCCGATTCCCCCTCCCCCTGCGGTGGTGGTGTTTGTTTCTTCACCCTGGGAAGATGACTGTGTGGCTCTTTCTTTGCGCCCTCTCCCTCTCCCTCTCTCTTCCTTCCCTCTTCGGTGGCGTCTTGGGTTTTCCCCGGTTAACCCCTTGGCTGCCGCCGCCGGGGCCGGGGGCCCGGGGCCGGGGGCCGGGGGCCGGGCTGCGCCCTGCGCGCGGGGCGGACCGCGGTGGCCCCGCCGGCGCTGGACGGGGGAGCGGGCAGCGCGCGGCGCCCGGGGCCCTGCAGGAGCGCCTCGGCTCCCTGCCGGCTGCTTCTTTATTGAGCTTTCGAGTGGCGTTCGCGGGCTCGCAGCCCCCTCCCCTCCCCTCCCCTCCCCTCCCCTCCCCTCCCCTCCCCTCCCCCCAAGGTCACGCTCCCCAGACCGGCGCCCCTGCACCCTCGGGGGGCCCTGGGCTGCCTTTCCGTGCGGCAGCCCCGCGGGGCCGCGAGCGCCCTGGGCGCGGTGGCGGGCTCGGCGGCCCGGCGCGCTGGCTGCGGGCGCTCCCGGGCCGCGCGGAGCGGGGAGGCCCCTGTGACCGGCCCCTCGGCGTGTGTGCAGCCGCGGACGGCCTCCTCCGAGCGGATTCGATGCTTTTCTAGGGAATTTTGGTGCCTCGGGGTTTAGAGCCGGGTCTGCGTTCGCCAGCTTCCGAGAAGGCCCTCAGTGGGCCCTCGGGGAGCAGAGACTAGGGTTTGCCGGCCCCAAGGGTGTGCAGAGGGTCAGGGAGGCCCAGGGCGCCTCCCCTTCACGGGAGTGGGCTGCCGCTCGCGGGCCACCCAACTTTGGGGGCCCCCAGGGCGGCACCGGGTGCCCGGCTTCGCGGGTGCCTTCCCGCAGCAGCTTGCGTTCCGCGCCCACCCCTGACGTTTGTTAATAGGGCGCGTCCCCTTTCCCCGACCGGCCTCTGCCCCCTGCCCTCGCCCTGAACCCCTCCCTCAAACTGCCCCCCCCCCTCCACCACCTCCCCTCCAGGCCCCCAATCCCACCCTTCTCTAAAAAGCCTGGATTGCCAATCTCTAGAAGCAACCCTCTGGACATTTGGGCCGGGTTTCCCGGGATTGTCCTTTTGCACCTTCTCTGGTTTGGGTTCCCCCCACTACCCCCCCCCCCTCCTTATTTACACACACGACTTCTGTATTTTTCGGTAACTCGAGGTAGCAATTTGAAATCATGTATCCAGTGTTCAGCAGCCGTGGATTCGGTGCTAATGGCCGAGGGCTTTGCCGGTCGGGAGCCGATCCGATCTACAAGTGTTTTTAAGCATTAAAATATTAACTATCAGGTTTTACTTGTTTTTTGGGCCCTGGCAAAAAAGGGCAAGGGCATGCTAGACCGGTCATTTTTTATGGCTAGGAAAGAGAAATAATTATTCCCCCCCCCCCCTCCCTCCTTCCCTGTACCAGGCTTCTGCAGGCTTGGGAAGCTGGTAGAGCGGTTCAGCCCGACCTCCTCCTGCAGGGCCCGCTCTCAGGCCGCAGGGGCCGGGCTCTGGGCTTGCAGCTGCAGGGAGAGGCTCTGTCCGGTTTCGTAGTAGTAGAGCTCATCTTAAAACCCGAGCATTCGGCTCAGAATCAGAGGGTTTGTGTCCCAACCAACCCGACCAAGCCGCATTCCAAAGTAACCCTGAGAATTTCCTACTCTCCTCCCTCCCCCTTCGATGGATTCCTCCCTGGTATTATTTAAAAAACCCACTTCGCCATCAGAAAGGCCATCTGAATGTTGAGCCTTGATGGCGGGCTTCTTGGCCTTCTTGAGTCTTTTGCAAACTCCCGGTCTGACCGCTGGCAGTCTTGCCGTACTGTCGCCTAAAACTTGAACACAGTTGTGCTGTGCTGTAATTAGGAAACAGGGAAATTGTTAAAGGCAAATAAATGATTTCCCGGTGCGAAAAGGAAGGCTCCCAACCCTCGGTCCCCTTTGTGGGCATTATAGGAATAGACCGCTCTAGTTATTTTAATTGTGGACGTAGCGGGTGGCCTTGTGCTGTGACATCAGATTGGGCAGGAGAGGACATTTCTGAACTCAGTAGGCAGTTTTGAGATTTGCATGTCAAACACCAACAGACATCTTTGTGTGTAACTGCCCCTTCCTCCTTCCTCTCTGTTACCTGGGTTAGGCTCTGTGCTCCAAAATTAAAGTTATTTATTTAGACCAGTAAGCAGAGCGATAGAAATGGGGACGGGAGGCTGTTGCGTGTCACTCCTGACGTCTTCGATCAGAGGGCCGGCTTGCAATTCCAGATTTGATACAGCTGCCGAGGGCATCTATAGGCAAGATAGGGGTCTTTTCATGCTCATCTGAAATTCTCAGTGCTTCATAGAGTGTGTTTTTGAGGGCAAGGTGTAAAGACAAACTAGCTGTATGCTTTCTTCTTTACCCGACCCTCCTTGGTGGTGGTGTTTTTTGCTACGGTTTCTGTTCCTTATTAGTGTACCTGTGAGCAGCTGCATCCTTTAAAAAAGCCAACTCTTTGGATCCCTGATTCCTGCTTTTCTATTTAAGAATGTAAAGAATTGAGGAGTATCGTTAAATCAGCTATGATGAATAATACATTATCTCAAGAATAATGCTTTAATTGCCGAAGACGCCATAAAGCTCGATAGTAATAATTTTATTTTAAAACGACAGGGCTTTCTGCATAACATTAATTTAGTCTTTGATACAGTAATAGGAATGGCTTTTAAAAAGACAGATTCGAATACAAAACTACATTAGGGAGAGAGATCTAGTGAAGTTGATGGGAAGTGATAGAACAGCAAATATTAGAACTGTGGTAACATTTGTATACTAAAGAGAAGAGTATTGTTACCATATTAAAGTCGATAGGAAAACGTAGTTTCACGGTTCTTTCTCCCTCTTGCCAAAAGGAGAAGTAGGAATAGGGTGGTCGGGATTCTTGTTAGGTTTGAGATTTCTTTTTAGGACTTGATTATTAGAGCTCTCACATCTCCCTTTTATCGCAAAGTTAGTTGCTTTTTAACTGAGCTGTTTGCTACTAGGTTGAACAAATAAATAAGCAGCATCTTGAATTCATTTTTGAACTTGGAGTCCAGCATTTAAAGGAAACCGAGAGGGGCCTATTCATTGGGGTTTTATTTAGCCCGGCAAACAACTTCTCTTTCTGGCTTGTGAAAAATGGATGTTTTTTTCCTCACTCAAACAACATAATCCTTTCTAATACAAAAGATTTAGACCTTAGAGTGTGAAGGGTTAATGGTGGTCCTTCCCTGCTTTTGTCCCCCCACCCCCCACCTTTACCCCTGATTGTTTTGACAACACTTTTCAAAGTGTGACATTCCAAGCCCCTACATAACAATGTAATATTACTGTAATTACACAGGTCATTACATTTTAAATAGAGAACAATAAAATGCTTATCGCCCTGAAAAAGAACAGGTGTTCTTGCCCTTCTTTGGTATTTATGCTAATTGTTTTTCATCTCCTTCAGAAATATTTATGGCGAACATGTTTAGATTCCAATCTCAGTGCAACAGTATTAATTCTGTGCTAATCTTTATAGGTTGGGGTTTAATGTCTGCAGTATGGATTATGGGCTCAGCATTCACCCCATAAGTCATATTTTAATGATTATAAATTTAATATGCCAGCGCTTTGCAGTTTGTTGAAATTAAAGCTTTCTGAACCCCCAGAAACAAGCTATTAGGCAGTGGGGGGGGGGGGCTGAAGTGCTTATCTGGAAGAAGTGTTTTTGGAAACTTTGGACTGCTTAAGGGAAGTAGCTTTTACTGATGCCCCCTATCTGATTGAGAAAAGATTTGGAGGCAGACAATCCCGGTTCTTGCCAGGAGTTTTCCACCTTGATTTTAGTTTTACTGATACGGATTTCATTTAGAGTCACTGCTGGAAGCTGGTCAGCTTTCTGTTTCTTAGCAAGCTGTGAAAAAGTTACAGGAAGGTTTCCGGGGGCTGGCAAATCAAGAATGCTGTTCTGTTCGCAGCGCAGGATAACTGCAGTTCTGCGCGCCATTAAAAAAATATTTGCTTTAGAAAACTAGCATTTTAATAGTTGCACCAGAGGCTGTGCTTTCAAAGATTACAGTAGAAGCCTTTGCAGGTTTTGAATGCCTCCACACATCCCACGAGGTGCTTGTGTGCATGCAAAAAGTGCCTAGATTTTCCTTGGTTGAGAAATCCGGGTGCAACTTCTCTTACACATGCACAGTGGGTAAAGGAGAAGGTATCTAAGAGGATTTTGCATTTTGTCAGATGTTTCACAACAGGGGCCCCCGAATCACATTAAAAATGCACTGTAGAGAAAGGACAGCTGCAAATTTTTGTGTGGACGCGTGTTTCTGGACCATGACTAAAACTCCGAGGACCTCTTCCCCAGCTGTCTGGAAGTTATGTGGAAGTTGGTTTATTGGCAGTTAAGTATGAGACAACCTGGATTTAGCCGAAGCTCTCTCCTACACAGGAAGTAGATGACATTATATTGGGGGAAGGGACAGGGCTGCAGGCAAGGAGTGATTTATTCCTTTTCTTGTTTTGTTTTTTAAACCTTGGAGCTGCCAAA